TTCAAGGCCGTGTACTTTCCATGGGCAGTGGCCAAAGTGCGCTTGCCATTGGGAGTTCCGGCAGGCAGGGAGCAGCCTCCAACGTACTTCGTGTCCAATGTTCAAAAAGTGAGAAACTGGGGGAGCTTGGGGAGAAGGATCAAGTCTTAAAGTTTTGAGGGTTTGTGAAGTCAGTGTCAAGCGTCAGATTCTTGCTTCAAGGCCTTTCGGACCGGAACCCGCTTTCAGAAGAGTTCAAGAGGGAGGTGCTGAAACATTTGCCAATCATGAGGAAGTACAAGCTGGACGACGCTGCAAACTATTTGGAAGCCTGGATTTCAGGCACTCTGCCTCTTCAGCCACTGTTGGATATAAGCGCGCGCCTTGCTTGAGTGTTTTTGATTGCTCAATGTTGCGCTGAAGGCAAGCGTAAGGCAAATGTGCTGTTGACCCGGGTCATTTGTGGTTTTACTGTGATTTCTATGTGCATTCCGGACAGGAGTGATGTTGTCTCATGTTCATGTGACAATTGAGTCTTGAGGTGCGCCGTTCGTCAGAGCAGAGCTTTCTTGTCAAGCGGACCTCATGTGACGAATTTGGATCGGTTGCCCAATCCTTTGCAGTAGCTCGCCATGAGCCCAAGCCCTTTTTTGTAGACTAGTTGTGGTAGAGCTAGTTTGTTTGTATTTTTTCTAAACACATTTAATTTTGGTGGTTGGTGCATAGTTTGACTGACCAAGGCTGACGCTTGGCAAGGATGACCGCAAGCATACTGCCCGGTATGTGGATCGCGCCCGAGCCAAGATAGTTTTGGAATCTGCGGCAGCCGCTTGGAGCAGAGGAGTTCCTTGGGCAGAAGCTATCGCAATGTCTCAACGAGTGGTCGACAGAGTTGAAGCAAAGGCCAAGCCAGCGCCGAGAAGGCGTCGTCGCTAAGCGAACGCTGTCTTCGATCAGTGAACTGGGTCCTTGCCCTTGTTTGGCCACTTGGTAGGTGAGCTAATTGCGGATGCCATCAGTGCCATCAACCTTGAAACACAACCCTAAACCCTAAACGTGCAACCCAAAACCCTAAACGCTCAAAAATTTGGGTGCGGCATGGACATTTACGGGGGAATTTTTTCGTGAGAGACATAGACCTTCACAGCCCGAAAAGTGTCTGATCCAACCTTGTATCAGACACTTTTGGGGAGTGCTGATGTGGGGTTGGCTTCCTAAACCCTAAGGACATAAACCCCCAGGAAAGTTAAGGCAATTCTGCCTTGAGTTTAAATTTCAATTGAAACATTCCAAATATGTTCTCGAAAATAAAATATATCATAAATCTGTGCATGTTCCAGCCACATCACGATAGACATTAATAGATGTCTCTAATATGGACAGTGACACAGAAAAACGGTAATTAAAGCTCTAGTTTACCTCTGTCATGGCTTTGTGACAAGCGGCAGCGCAACCAAGAAAATCAATCAGTTTTTGGGTGTCATGGGGCCTACACCGTCTTGAAGCCACGCTTTTCGTAGGTAGGAAGCCAAGAAATCCGACACTTTCTGGAGGCCATAGGGGATGCAAATCCGACACTTCTCACACATGTGCCCTGAATGGATTGAAAATCCGACACTTTCTCGATGCCAAGCACCTCCAAAATCCGACACTTT